TTCCAACTTTTGATTACTTGGGACAGTCAAATTTTTTTCCCAAAGAGGGGTAATAAAAAATCAATATCAGAGACAGAAAACTCAAGAAAAAAAAGAAATAGAAAGCTCATGCAGATATACTTAAAATTAGATGTACCAAACATCAACTTCTATGCACATTTTGAAAGCAGGATGATGGAGCACGATCTGTAGACATGTGAAATAACCAAAAGAAAACTCCTCCAAGTCTCTGAGATACTGAAGTTGTATGACACCAAGTCCCCAACTGAAGCAAAAATCATTGCAGCAGCTATTTCAGGGCAAAGTAAAAACACCAAAAAGCCTTATCTCTCGCTATGAGAAAGTAAATTCCTAAGTTCCAGAGATAACCAATCTTCGGATTTCTCAATACATTTGTAAAACTGAGAGATGGAGAAATAGATAAAGATGATGTTGGGTTGTGGTCGAACTAGTGACTTTTATAGTCCCTTCTAATTCAAAGAGTTTCTGATGTCAAGTCTTATTATTAATAAAAAACCTATCTATAATGAAGACGAAGTGACAAGAGAAAGAGAAACGTTTCTTTTTTCCTCCTGATATATTTTATTCATTAGATAATCCAGTAGTTCTCCCAATCTCACCCCAGAGGACATTTGGCAATGTCTGGAGACATCTTTCGTTTTCACAGCTGGGGTGTGTGTGTGTATGTGAGCTACTGGCATGTAGTCAACAGAAGCCCGTAAGCTGCCAAACGCCCTACAATGCAAGGGACCACTCCCACCAGCCCATCCCCCATCGAGAATTAGGGGGCCCAAAATGTCAACAGTGCTGAGGTTGAGAAAACCTGAGACAGCCTAATGAATGACAAACAACCACACACACCTAAAGTGCAAATGTTTCTTTGATCTACTGGTGCTTCTGGAAGACCTTGAAACGATGATGCTGATAATTCACAAAGCCACACAGAAATATTAGAGTAAGATAGTGAACTGTTATAACACCTGATCAGGAAGAATTTAAGTGACCTAGAAAGTCCTCCTGGGTCTGGAACAATTTTGGATGAGTAACTGTTCCTCTTATTCATGAAATTAACACATCCTTTGAAACAGAGCAAACAGCAGAGATGGGCAGTGATGTATCGTATTTCAGAAACGTTCCTCAGGCCAATACTTGAGAGTTCCCTACCTAAGTGGAATAGAAATTGGAACTGGAAATTGGATAGAGTAATAGTGATCCTATTAATTTGCAGAGTTGTGTTTGAGGATTTCACCATATTACAATTATCAGTGGACATGCCTGATCTCTTATTGTTTGTATTTATCACTGTATATCACAAGATATAGCATAGGAACTTGGTTCCGGTAGGTGCTCAACAAATATTTAAGTGAATTGGCTGGTTGACTGAATGAACAAACAAATAAAGAAATGAATCAAAGTGCTCTGTAAAATGTAAAGGTCTCTACAAACACAAGGAAATAGGAGTATATAATACATCATGGCACAGACCTCATAATATTTGCTCAATAAAGCTGCTTAGGTTCAAATGAATTATGATAATGTAGTAAGAAAACCTGCTATGAAGATTATTAGTTTTCAGGTACATCTGGGAAGAAATGAAACAAAGGCAGTACAATTTTATATGGCACAAGATAATATTGCTAACACAGGTAGGAGTGAAAGAAAGGGACATGCAAAACCAAATAAAGACTGTGAAATAGCCAGAACTTGAAATTACTGGCTGTTATAAAATGGTACCATTCTTAAGACAGCCACATGATGGAGGAATATTGGTCCAACGTTCTCTATTAAAGACAGAACAGAGAGTCAGTATAGCAAATAAAATTTGCTTTTAGGTAGAGTGTGCCATCTAAGCTGCTTGGTTGGCCTTAAATGCTGATGAAGGGGTGTAGGCAAAGGGAACTGGAACAGAAACAACAAGTCAGGAGTTTTAAGTTCAAGACCCAGTTCTGACGCTAGGAAAATTACTATATCTCTCTGGGCCTCAATTTTTCTGATCTGTAAATGAAGAGGTCGGATTAGGTGACCTCCAGTGATTCTGGCATATAGATGCTGATGCTAAAAGCTGGAGGCTGGGAAAGTGAAAACAAGAGCAATCTTTGGGAATTAATAAAACACATCATAATAAAATATCTAAAAAATGCTGGAAGAAATACAAAGCAAAATAACATTTCATAGGAGGAAGAAGCCTTAACCATAGCATCTGTTTTTCAGTTAGTCTTACTTAAATATTAATTTCTTATCATACAAGTGTCTTCAACCAAGGCATGGGTTCCAGCAAAACATTTTTTTTTTGCCCTGGGCTATAGACACTAAGGGCATTACCAAATTTATACTCCCTCAGAATGAGGAAATAACATAAGAATTTTTTTGCCAAAACTAATAAATCATACTAATCTGAGAATATATATTATCTACATATTAGCAACATTTAAATTTATTTTATTCCTTTCATATAGTGTGCATTTGCAAATTTTTACATTTAAAATTAAGTTCCACATATTTTTATATTTTAATGTGACAGCCCCTTACATTTGTGTTACAGGGATAAAACACATATTTGAAATTATTTGTCTGAGGTACTTTCTTCTAAAGAGAAGCCTGCTGGGCAGCTCCTGAGCTTCCCTTTGTTGTGAAGAGGAAACTGGGAAATCAGGAGAAACTAGAGAGGCTCAGTGGCTCTGTACAATAGAGAGCTGAGCCAGAGGAAGGGTGCACACAGGGACTTTGTTGTGGGACAGGAGGGATAGTTGAGGCTGATGTCACGCAGAGGAAATATTAAGAGAAAATATTAATACGGGAAAAAAAGAATTTAAGCAGTTCTGTGTGGTTTGAGCAGATTCTCCTTTGGCATTTTCTCAAGAACTGTATTGATTTGATTGCCTTTGAATGCTTTTCGGATTGATGGACTTTTTTCCCTTGGAATACAAATCTGTGCTGGTACTGGACCAACAGATGTGTTTATATGGGTTCTGTTGACATAAAGTTTTAAAAGTCTATACATTTAGTCAATCCACATAATAATAATCTTGCAAGGAAGACAGGACAAAAATACTTTTATTTTCCAAACTTGCAAATTGAGACTCGTGGCGGTTAAAGTGATTTTCCCAAGATAACATAGTGGAGACTCAAAGCTGCATCAGCTGGGATTCTTTTCATTACTCTACGCTGCCTCTCTGCGAGCAAAAACGCTTAGATAAGCCCAGGAACTATCAAATCTATTTCTTCCCCTCCTCCTTTTCTTCAAGGGGAGGTGTTAAAAGGAAAGGCCTCTACAGCAGGGTTAGTAGAATTTTCTGCAATGACAGGAGTGTTCTGTGTTGTCCAGTATGGTAGCCACGAACCACACGTAACTACTGGGTGCTTGAAATAGGGCTAGTGTGACTGAAGAACTGAATTTTTATTTTTATTGAATTTTAATTAATTTAAAGCGCTACACTTGGCTAATGGGTATAATACTGGACAGCACATTCTAGAAGCTCCCTGTGAGAGAGATGAGCAACTACCCTAGGTATCGCAAACTAAGATAATAATGGGGGATAAAGTGTACTTTATTATTTATCTTTAGTTTTCTAGTTGTTAGAATATCTTGAAGTCCAAACCTGTCATAGACAAACCAACACTGTGGTCAAGTGTTGGCTTAAGATACTTTTCTTGACTTTTAGTACTTTTACCTATTCACTAAATGTTTTTACAAATAATTAAGATGAAATAACTAACTTCCTCTGTAGCACCATTTATCTATTTCTCCAGAACGTTGTATGTGTTCCTTTGCTATTCATAATTTGTAAAATTATTTTTATTCTCTCTCTACTATACATAATATATGTAAAGTCCAAAGCAGCAGAGTCCATTCTGACTTTCCAGAAACTTTGTGTATGTCTGCTCTTCCTTTGCAGTAAATGGGCACAAAGAACAAACCAGAGATATAGAGTAGAATGAAAGTTTCATGAAAAAAAGGGATTCGGCCAGCCTTTCTCCTTATCACTAAAAGATTCATAAACAACAGAAACATCTTTAACTTTGGGTTTGGTTGGGGAGTTTTTCCACACTTCAGCAGCCCTTTTTGCTTCTGAAAAGTCTTCCTTATTACTGGGTGCTCTAGTTCATTGAACAATTTATAGAGTTTTATGTTATTTTACAGAATTGTCTATGTTTTTGAATCGAAAATGGAAGATGAGCTTCGAAAGGAATAAAGGTAACATTACTACTTCAAAGAATTACAAAAGGAGTTGGATATATATATGCATGACTTATATAACTGTCAATCATACCCTATTGGAAGCCACACCTAACAGAAAAGCCAGTGAAAGAAGCGTCATCTTATCCTAGAAGGAATCGTCTATGTGTTCCTTATGTCTTTGTAGAGTACCCGTTGCACCAGTTACATTGGCAAGTCATTTGGTTATTGCTAACTGACCAAACCTACTCCACAAGAAATAAGCTGGGTTATTTCCTATAAACTGAACGTAGCTATAGCAGAGAGATTGTCACCACATCCTTCAATCACCTTGCTTGTCAATTTTTTTGCAATTATTATCTAAGCAGGTTAGGAAAAAATTATCACCCTCATCAGGTACTTAAAAATGTAAAGCAAAATATACTTGATGGAAAATGGCATGAGTTTACATCAGACAATTGTGATGATAAAATAGGATACTCTGTCAGTGGACTGATGTCATTCGATGTAGACATGTGTATAGATGCTAAGTTGGTAGTAAAGTGCTGCTTACGAGACATCTCTGCTTCTTGATACCTGAATCTGCAAATGTTGGACACGGTACCCTACAGAAACCAACAGCTTCTTGGCACAAGACGTTAAGTTTCATGGGTCGAGATGTTGATGAAATTGTACACACAGTACCTGAATTTAAACTTTAGGAGCTCAGTATATATATTAACCACTTTCCTCCTCCAGGGATGAATTTCCTGTCTTCATTCATGGGGAGGTTTCAAAATCTGGACTGTGATTATGGGGCAAATGACAGATCCATCTAAGGAGCTTTTTGCATCTGCTTTATTTCACCAGGGAGGGAAGGGGTTGATATGAATGGGAGAGCAGATCAAATAGGCAGGAAAATGATCGGCACTGCAACTAATTGAACCACTTCCGCTAAGTGACATAAAAATATTCTAATATTAAGGATTATTTTACAACTCTATGGAAGTATGCAGTAATGCATCTCGCATTTGTTTTGTCTTGATGACAAAATGCACTCTGAGTCACAAGAGCCTGCCTTGTGTTAGTTATAAACAAAAATATATATATATATATATTTATGTAACTACTATGTGCTTTAAAGAAAATTACTGTATGATTCAGCAGGGTTCTTTCCTTCTTTTTATCGCCAGGGATGTGCTGCCTTGAATGGCTTCTTAGATTGGAATCGACAATGAAATGGGCCTTTCGGACTGAAACGGCAAAAAGTAAAAAGCGGAAACAAAAACCCTATGTGTTTAGAACCCTTTAACATTTTTGCTTCAAAAACGATTAAGGAACTCTTCGTATTGTTTCCTTTTGTTTCCTTCAGCCAAGAGCAACTGTGGCTTCATAGGACTTCACAGTGGGCGGTGGAGGCAATACTTCTTAAAACAAATCAGATGTTTTAACTCTGAGGCAGGGGAACCAGAAGCCTCCTTTGCCTCTCCCCCCTTTCTCACACTTAGCTAAAAGGCTGCGATTCTGTCACTGCTCATAGAGTGGGCAACCAGAACAAGGAAGACGGAGGCGGAGTCCGAACCTCCAGGACAGGTAAAAGATTCATCCTGTAAAGTGATGAACTTGTTGGAACAGGTGGGTCTAGACCAGAAAAACAAAACCCTTTAGCCACGTCTGGTGAAAAGACAGAAAAACCTCTTATTTTGTGTTTGTTTTTGCTCCTGCATCAGCTCCTTTTCTCAGCAAACTGAAATATTCATTATTGCTCTTTTGAGTGAATGGGTTCAGGCTGTGGAACACAGTTATCAGAGAAGAATATTTGAACGAAGGTGTAGATCCCTCGTGAACTAAAGCTTTATTATTTTTTGTCTTGATCCCTTTGCAACCCTGCACCTTAAGCCAACAGCATTGTAATCTTGTCATATTTCTGATAAGTCCACAGGAGATGTCATTCCACTAGGGAATTCTATGTTCAGTGGTAATTGGTATCCTCTATAAGTTTTAGGGTTTTTTTTTTTTTAACCCTTCCTGGGCTTAGCTTGTCCAGAAATCTCATCTCCTTCTGACTACAGCAGCTTAGGGCTTGTGTGTGTGTGTGTGTGTGTGTGTGTGTGTGTGTGTGTGTGTGTTTAAGGTATAGGCAAATTTTTAGTCTTAACACCTGTAAGCCAGCACTGGTGCTGTTCTGTCCTAGAAATTTTAGCACTGCTCTGATACAATAAAACCTTCTTTCTCTCCAACTGGTTCAACCTCAGCATAGGCAGGATGGCCAGAACCTCTTCGAAACTTCATTGCAGGCCATCTGCTTGGGCGTCTCTGAAACAGGAAATGTAAAATAGTGAACACCAGGGCGATGGTCATATCATAAGAAAAATATATTTGCCAAATATTTTAGATGAACTTCTGATTTAAATTTAGTAACATATTAAATGATCTCATTACTGCCACGGTTGGCATTATACATGCTCAAAGCACTCTCCATTATGGCAGTACCAGAGCCTCCCAGGTGACAGTCCCTTGGCCATACCTCCCCCCATAGGACTGAGAGCTTCTCAAAGGCATGGTTTATGCCTTGTGCATATTTATGTCTAAAAGACTCCATAAGTGTCCAAATATAACTAAGCAAAAGTGAACGGTCATAAAAAACAAGTCTTCTTAATGTATAGCCACTGACACTTTCTCTTCTCTAGAAGTTAATAATGATATCACTTCATTTCACTTATTAATTCACTCAAAAACTTAAGGCCATAAAATTCTACACAGTTCTTAGAAGTGTGCGTCAAATTTGGTGCTAGACTTCCTAGCAAAAAAAAACCTCCCCCCCAAAACAAAACAAAACAAAAAATAAAAGATCGATCACATTAATATTAAGCTAAGACTTCCCATAGATGACTTTTGTGTTTGAAAATTAACAGATGTCGTGCCCTGAAAACTGAATCCAACATCAGAGGGCGCAGACAATCTCAAACCTCTGTAAATAATTGCACATGTAGACACTGGTCCTAAAATACAGGTTATTTGTATTGATACTTCTCCCCAGCACTAGGTCCATCAAATAAACCTTCTGTGATTTACAAATAGAGGTGCTAAAATGAATTATTAAGTTCCAGCAGCAGAAGACACTAAAAGGCATTTCGCGGCCACAGTGACACTAGAAACTATTACTCCATTTATCAGAGTGCTTGCAATTTTGGAGTAAATAAAACGATAAATATTAAAGGAAGTTTATTTCTATCTAAAGCATTTCAATGGGAAAAATGTTAAATATCAGTGTAGATATACAGGCATTTAGCAGCTTTCTAGATTTGCCAATTACATCCCACTGTCATGATTAATGGCTGTAAAAGAGTTTTCACATCAGGTAGGAATGACTATTAGCTCTATCTTCTGGAAAAATACCAATCACGGTCATTGCATCCTGCCTACTAATAATATTATGTACTGTCTATATAACATTATGTGGTCAGAATGCTTTATATTTATTAGCTGATTAAGTCCCATGATGTAAGTGAAACTGAATGATCTTTACTTTCCAAGAGAAGAAGGTAAACCTGAGAGGGCTAAAGAGCAAAATAGTGTGTCTTTGTTGGAACTAAAAATCATCATCAATGGAAATATACTAATCGTTCCTAGGGAGATGGACCCTGTAATTTATGGTCACTCCTGGTTGCGGGAAAATGCCAATAGGCTCACTCTTTAAAACCCCCACTCTGGTTTCAGTTACTTCACAACTGGGCTTCCTAGGGCACAGCTGCCCTGTCTGTCTCTGAGTGAAACAGCAGCACTAAGTCTGTTCTGAAGTCCCACCTTCCAAGGCCCACCTGGCCGGTGGGTCCAGCAGGCAAGTACAGCCCTGTGAAGCAGCACAAATTTACAACTCAGCACATAAAGACACTGTGCTACAGGTGACCATTAAAAAGGAGTGCGGATGATCATCAGGAAGACAACAGACAGCAGGTGCTAGCGAGGATGTGATGGAACGGGAGGGAATCCTTAGACACTGTAGGTGCGAGTGTAGAGTAGTCCAACCACTAGGGAAAACAATAGGGAAGTCCCTCAAAAAGTTAAAAATAGATGATCCAGCAATTCCACTTCTGGTATATACCCAAAGGAAATGAAAACAGGAGTTTGAAGAGATAAATGCACTCCCATGTTTATTGCAGCATTATTCACAATAGCCAAGATATGGAAACAACCTGAATGTCCATCAGTGGATGAATGGATAAAGAAGAGGTGGTATATAGAGTGGGATATACACAGTGGGATATTATCCTGCCATGAGAAAGGAGGACATCCTGTCACCTGTGACAACATGGATGGACCTTGAGCACATTATGCTAAGCGAGACAAGTCAGAGAAAGACAAGTACTGTATGATATCACTTATGTGTGGAATCTAAAAAAGTCAAACCTAAAAGAGTAACAAAAAGTAAAACAGTGGTTACCAGGCAATGGGGGGTGAGGAGATTAGACTGATGGTATTTAAGGGTATACGCTTGTAATGGGTATTAAATAATATTGTACTATAGGTACGTAATGCAATAAATGTCATTACAACAGCAACCATATTACAATATACAAATGTATCAAAGTAACATGCTGTATGCCTTAAGTTTACACAACTTCAAATTTATCCAATAAAAAAAATAAAAAGGAGCACCATTAATGAGAATGTTGATGATGATGCTTGTGAAAGTTATATTTTATTAAGCTCTTAACCGTATTTCATGCAGTTAGTAGGTAATTTACATACACTATCTCATTTAATGTGTACAACTCAATCATTTACCTTTCGCACAAACCTAGAAAGCTAGCAAATGGCAGGTCCAAGATTTAAAATGAGATCTGTCTACGTCCAAAGTTAATTCTCCCCGCTGTAGAAATTAGTTCTTAAAATTCAGTAGTTCATGTATAACCTATCTGAAATTTGTGAACATGGCTCTATTTTTATTTCAGTCTTAAACTATAACATTACCAACAACTTCAGGATTCTGTTAATAAGTCAGAATGACTAAGTTAATAATTCTCTTAGGTGAAAAGTTTGAAGGATTACTGATAATGTTTATCATGTTCTTTGTGAACTCATCACAGAGGTTCTCAAAATTGAAAGTACAAAAGTATTGGACAATGGAGCTTCCTCTGTTAACACAGCACAGACTTATTTTCTGAATTAACTGCATATCCTTAAAGAAAATTTCTTTTGATTTACCACTACTCATTGTAGAAAAAAATATACCCCAACAAGATTTAAAATCACTAGAGATCCTACCACCCACACATAATTTGGTTCAACTATCAGTGTACATCACTTGTATGCATTTCTAGAAACATTAAATCATTGCAAATACTGTTTTATGGACTCCTTTATTTCCAATGAAGAGCACAAAAAATTTATGAACTATCCCTCTACAAAATTATTTTAAGTGTCTGTAGAGCAAACTACTTATAACTCAATAAGATTTATACAGTCAATTTGATTTTGAGATTTTTTTTTCCAGATTTTTTGATAAAATAAATAATGTTACAGTGAATACTTTTGCTGCTAACCTGATGGGAATAAAATTATTGGGCCAAAGAGAATGCACAAATTATTTACTAAAAACGCCTGAAATGTCTAACATGGTGCTAGATGCCATGTTGAAGGAAATATGACCAAAGAAAGGTATGAAACATGGTTTCCACATGGGAGATAAAAACCGTTTCAGGGGAAAGGGATACATTGCGGTAAGACTTAATAAAGGGCTCAAATAAGCATTCTAAAGATGAACAAGATAGAATAAGTATAATCCAACTACAAAATTATTCAAGACTCCTATTTTATTTGTGCAAAACTGAAAATTTTATATTTACTCCTAGAGTTTTTGACCAGATGAAAATAGAGGGTATTTCCCATAATAATATGTTAAAATTTACAATGAAATCTAATAGATGCCATGCAGCTGGGGTTTTAAACATTTGGTCCGATTTTACATTCTTTTACAATTCCTTGATATCTCAATTCTAGCCCTAAAAATACCAAACAGAGTAATAAATTTACCAAAATTCTGCTTCCTTTCTAGAATGCTTTCACATATCACAAATCAATTATATGATCTAAAATAAATCACTTGATTTCTCTGGGCCTGCGTTTCCTTATCTGCAAAATGATATCTGAGGATTTGTCCTCTAAAACTGTAGGATCCTTATGCTTGCTTCCCTGAGATAACGGACTTGAACACTGGAGAGAAAAAGTATTTAAAAACTCCTCTGGGTCGTGGTTCTCCTGACCATTGTCCCTCCTGCCTTCCTGCACTAACTTTTAGGATCCCTAAATTTAAAGGAAATCTATGTAAATTAGTCCTAACTGAAGTCGTTTTCCTAGGTCAATCTGTAAGTGTTCAGAGATTTCCTTATATAAATGAAAAAAGGGGGCAGTTCTGTGACTTCCGCAGAATGACTGAATGTTTACTTCTCATAGAACAATCTTTAAGGTTGGTGCTATGAGACATCTATCCGATGGACAAAGAATGGGCATCATGTCTGGCTCTGCCATGAAGTATGACAGACAGGTCACAACCCAGCATTTAATACTTTTTTTCTTGAGGCTGAGACATGTCCAAATCTGTGTTCTTTTTAGAATGGCTAATTCAAATTGTTACAGAAACTGATGGACGGGGGGGGGGGCACAGGGTCACGTGCTAACAGAGCAGGATCTATGCTGAAAATGGAAAAATTCGAACCAGACTGTAATGTTAATTCATTACAGAGATTCAGGGTGTCATGCCTTAAAACAGGACTGGGTGTAATGCATGGGTGATCTCTAATTTCATTTCTGAGAATTATTTATGCGATTAATCAAATTCAGAAGTAAATGTTCACACTGATATGTTGGCACTGGGGTGGGCCGTGAAAGCAGGTATTCCCCCTAATTACTCCTTCAGAACTATTAATTGAACAGTCATCCAGATCTGTCTCAATGGTCTGTGGCAAGATAATTAGCTGAAATATCCACAAACAAACCTGCAGGGTACCCTCCGTTAGTAGAGTAAACAAAACTGCAGCTGGAGACCTGTCTTCAAGCTCGGAGAGCAAAGCGGATAGTGCTTTTTATGGGTTAGATGAACCCTTGAAAGGCCGTTACTAGGCGTGAGTGTGAAAGACAAGGGGTTAATTTTGAAATTCAAGGCCCAGCTAGAAGACACCTGTGGTGCCTGATGGCATTTGACAAGCAGTTGTTCTGAAATTTCTAGTATTTCTTCAGTAAACAGTAGGAAGTGGAAAGAGGCTGGGATCCTGAGGCACGGACAGCATCTCGGTCCTGTCACTTCCCAGCACAAG